TCATGTGGCTGATGTTCAGTGGAGGTCGGAGGCATAAGATAACACACAGGGGAACCAGTGACCAAGACAGTGAAAGGTGCAAGAAATAAACAAGGCAGAGTATGGTGGGCCAGGTGTGGTGGTGGGACCAGAGAAAGGAAGGCCTCTCCTCTGAGGCCTCAGAGTGATCAGGAGCAGCCAGAGAAGAGTGGTCCAGACTGAGCCACTAGCGATGTAAAGCCCAGCACAGCAAGTGGGGAGGAAGGGGCTGCATAGAAGACATGAGAGGGAGGAAGCCATGGATTGGGGAGATGGGCTTGAGAATTAGGCCGAGCTGCAGGGCGAGGGGGCATGCCCAAGAGAGGGCTGGCCATACATTCCCAGGACAGTGGAGGGCTCTCGTTATAGGAGCAACATAATCTGACAGAAACTCCAGATTACAGGAGACCAATGGGACATGGTGACTGACTGAATGCAATACACTATCTGGAATTTTCTGTCGCTATAAAATACGTGATAGGGGCAAGTGGTCAAATCTGAAGGAAATATGTAGATGTAGTAATAATATTGCATCCGTGTTAATTTCCTGATTTTGATCGCTGAACTCTGGTTATGTAAGAGATGTCCTCATTTTGGGGGTACACATTGAAGTATTTGGGGGAAAGGAGCACCACATAATTTACTCTCAGTGTTCAGGAAAAAAGTCTGATGAGAAGGTGGCAGTTGGAAGGGAGAAGGAATGTGGCCAAATGGTAACATCTGGAAACTCTGGGTAAAGGGTATAAGGAAAGTATCTCTACTATTTTGCAAACTTTTTGTGCATCTGAAACTATTTCAAATTAAAAATTAAAATATTAAGAGCTATACTTGGATTGTCGCTGTGCCTGGATTGTGGTTGGGAGCAGAAGTCAGGAGTCCACACTGGGAGACCTGGGATGTGGACAGAGGGGAGACAGGCTTGGGAGGAAGAGGGGAGGTAGGGCTTCCTGATGTGGAAGGTGAGGGAACAGAAGGAATCAAGGATTCTAAAGGATGATTTGGGTCAGAACAATTGGCAGGGTGGCGCTTCCTGAGATTAGAAGCAGGAGTGGGAAGTGGGTTAGGCCAGGAAGGGGCTCGGGTGGAGGAAGAGTGAATGGAGTGCTCTGTTTTGCTGTACCACACTCTCATTAAACACAACACCAGGGAAACAGGGCCTTGAGCATCTGTGAGAGGTGGATGATGGCCCAGTGGCCTGTATGGAGCATCTATGAACACAGGCCAGACAGGGCGCAGGAGGGAGGTCCTCAATCCTGGAGGATGTTAGACTCCCCCAGGAGCTTTTACAAAATACCCACACCAGAGGCCCACCTCTCTGAGTCTCTGGTGGGACTACTGTGTCATATTATTTAAGGCTCCTTAAGTGACTCCAGCGTGCAGCTTCGTTTGGGGTCTGCTGAATGACAGCTTGCTCAAAGCTGCCAAGAATGACTCCAACAGTGGCAGGGCAGCCACAGCAGCATCGGTCCAGCGAGCCTCCCTGGGAAGAATGCTCTGAAGGATAGCACTCAGCAAGGTGCTTTCTGCCTGTTTAAATTTCTGTTGTAGTTGCAAAATGATCAATTCTCATTTCTGTTTCCCCCTGCCAATTTGCCCTGGCATAGGCATCCATGCCTCCAGCCAAATTCAAGGTGAGTAGAGGACAGAGTGGACTGCAGGGCCCAAGTCCAAGGCCATGGCAGAGTGGAGGTGAGGTGGCGTCAGGTTGTGAGCCTGGGGCAAGTCTAGTCATCATCTGGTGAGTCACAGGCTGCTATTGACAAACCCAAAGAAGTCGGCAAGGTCAGAGACAAGAGGCAGAGCTGTGGTGTGGACACCAGGAGGGCAAGAGGTGGAAGTGAATCTGTGTGTGGCACAGGCAGTGAACTCGGGTGGATCATGCTGTGCTTAAGCCTGGCTTTCCATAGCTCAGGAGAGTGTGGAGTGTGAGGGGGATCTCATAATTATGCGAAAAGTGTCATCATCATCCCCTGAAAAATAAGGACAGGAGGACACATGAGGCAGGCTCTGAGAGTGCACATTCAGGTGTGAACACTTAAAGGGGAAAATGAATGATTATTTATATTGGGGAACAGACCACAATGCACATTGCCCCCAGTTAGACACCAAACTCTTCCAGGGGAGCTTCCACTTCTGATTGCTCAGTACTGTGCAGAAATGCCCTCCATGGAAGCCTCCATAGACCCACCCTTTCCCCTCCACATCCCTCTCAGGGCCAGACTGCCTACCCCTGCCCCAGCCAGCAAGGCTCAGAACAGTGGCTGCTCCCAGGTAACTCTCAGCCTGACTCCAGCTCCAGTCACCAAGCTCTGGGGATGGCCTTCTGATGGCTTGCAGGTAAATGCTTCCAACCCCTGCTGGAAGATCTTAATAGTAATATTTTAAATTATGTCTCTCTGTCGGTGGGGCTGCAAGCATTAGCCAGTGTCCCTCTGACTCAGCAGGATCCAGCACCTAGTAGGCCCTCCACACACAGTTGTTGGATGGGTGCATGACAGCTCTCTGATGAGGACTCTGGTAAATCGTCTTCTATGAAAGCCCAGCCAGTTCTTGGCCACTTGCCCTTCATCATATGTATGTACTGTTTGCCGTTTTCAAGAGTAGTGAGAACCCGGAGCCTATTCAAATGATAGACCTCTTTAAACAGCAGGTCCAGCCCTTTAGCACAATGGCTCTCCCATTTAGAGTCCCCTTTTTCTTCATGGTAGCCCCTTCCTCCTCCCTCATCTCACCTGTTCAGGCTCTGGGGACACTACTTCTCCTCTCCTTTTTGAAAGCTGGTGCCCAGAGCCATAGTGCTGCCAGGATTCTGATAAATATATTCCCCTGAAGAAAATAACTGACCATGTCTTGATGAATGTACTATCACTGGCTGCTCTGGGTGGCGTGTGCATTTCGGACAATTTAGTTGCTCCTAAACTTGGTGGCTGGTATAAAACAGAAGTCTTCAAGAGTCAAAGAAAAAGGACACATTGGGGAAACAAATGTCAATATCATGGGATCTTTCATGGAGTATGCCATTTGCCGTTCCTTAGAACAACTCAAGCTCACCCTCACCTAAGGCTGCAGCTGCCCGCCTTTTCTAAATATCCCTTCCCTTGATAGCCACAGGGATGGCGTCTTCAGCAGTCAGGGCTCTGCTTGAATGTCACTTTCCAGTGGTGCCTTCCCTGGTCGCCCCCGCAATCCCACCTTCACTGTTATTATCTGGGCAGCAGGCTTTGCAAACACTCTGGGAGCTCCAGGTCTAATGTGTGCTAGAACCTGGGATTATTGGACCTGGGGGTGGCTATGGGATGATTGATAGGGAAGGACTCAGGTCCTAATCTCTGGGGGTCTTGTGGTTGGCAAGGCCTGTACTATGTGCTCCATGAGAATAAGAGCTGTGTGAACGTCATCCTTGTGTCCCTAGCATTGACACATATTAGGTGCTCAGGGAACGTCTGTGAGATGACATAGCTCTTGCTTCTTGAAGAGTGTGCCTACCCTAGCAGCCTGGACAAGGTAAAGAAATACTAAGTTGGGTGGGAATGAGAGAGGCTCCCCATCTTCCTCTAGACCCCCTGATAGCATCCCTCTGTGGGACCCTGTCATATATGGCCTTTCACAGTGCACCCATAGGCAGCACCCAGACAGAAGTTGCTCAAAACTTCCCTCCAGAGGAAATCAGGCATAAAGTCCTTGCTGGCCATCAAGCCAGGGCAGCCCTGGGGCACAGTGGCTGTTTTCCGATGGTGTCTGGCAAGAGGCCTCTGGGAGCTCTTTCTCAATGGAAGCAGGCTCTCACATCATTACAGGTCACATCCCTGTCACTTCAACCTGGTTCATCCCACAGGACTGACCTGCCTAGCAGGGCTGTGAAGGTTTAGGCAGACAGACAGACAGATAGACAAAGGGCCTAAGGTGTAACGGAGTAGACTTACCCTTGTGACCAAAACCCTATGTGTGGCCAGCGTGGCTGATTACTCATGGTCTGGGGAGGAGGGACTGTCGGATCTAGAGGTAAAGTCTAACCCATGGAGTCCAAAGCAATGGGAAAGGAGTCCCGTGTGGATTAAATAAACACATTCCTGCCTGTAGATCCCCTTCTCTAAATGCATAAGGCAGATATACAAGCTGAAGGACTTTGGACTCAGTGAGTTGTGGCTTATGTAAACAATACCACACTGACTTAAAAATAATACACGAGGCAGGAAAAAAAACTACTTTCATTGTTATAAAACTGAACTAAGATTACATTTTTTCCCCTTGTAATTGCTTCTCAGGTCCGTAAATAGACCTTATTATAAAGAGTTGGGGAGGGGAACAGCAAATCAAGATAAAGTACAACCTTTTTTTACATTATTTATGGGGTGTTTTTTTTTGTGATCTTAACTCTTTGAAGAACTGAAGGACTATATCAAGCAAGTTAAATGGTTTCATTCTAAGAAATATCAAATAAAACCCTAATTTCAGAAAGGCAGAACTCTAGCAGTGTTCCCAAATGCCAAGAATTTTCTATGTCATGTTTTCTGGGACTTAAGTTATTCTCCTTAAACCTGCCATGATTTTGTTGAAAAATATCCAAAATGGATGCAAGCCTTGCCCAGGGAGAGTATCCTGAATGTGTGATTCCCGTTTTCTACAACTCAGTGAGAGAGGAAGACGCTGACCAAGAGGAGAGCAATGATCACTGCTCAGCAGAGAGCACCTTCTCAGGGACTTGGCATTTGAAACTGACAAGACATTGATCTCAGTGGGTCAGCTGAATTACCTACTCTTCTTGGCTGTCTCTTCCCCATTCTAGCCATTCTCTGTGAGTTTAGTTTGTTTTTTTTTTTTGAGACAGAGTCTCGCTCTGTCACCTAGGCTGCAGTGCAGTGGTGTGATCTCAACTCACTGTAGCCTCTGCCACCCAGGCTCATGCAATACTCTCACCTCAGCCTCCCAAGTAGATGGGACAACAGGCATGCGCCACCATGCACAGCTAATTTTTAAAAAAATATTTTGTAGAGATAGTGTCTGCTATATTCCCCAGGCTAGTCTTAGAACTCCTGGCTCAAGCAATTCTCCTGCCTCAACCTCCCAAAGTGCTGGTCTGTGAGTTTAGTTCTGATGACTGAGTCTAGCTGTCTGAAGATGCTGAACTGCTGAGCTCCAAAGAGGGCTGGCCTCTCCGCTGCACCTCTGTGCTAGACTTCTTCAGCACCTGTGAGAGGCCCAGCTGAGCCTGTGGCCAGCAGAGGAAGGGGAATCTTCTCCCTCATATGGTCCCACAAGGGACCACAGGAGGTCTGAAGACATCCCCCCAGTTCTCTGACATTATCATGTCTGGTATTGGTGGCCACTCTGGACACTTGCCCTCTCACATTTCATATACGCCCATGGATTTGTGCCATCCACATAGCTCTGATGGCTGGAGGCAGTGTCTGACTGCATCTCAACTCTGCTGAGCAAGGGGTACACGTAAGACAATAGTAACCAGAAGCCCAAAGCAACATTTAGGTCAAAAGAACACGCATGTGTGTGAAGGTCTGTGTGTACTCATGCCTGTGTGATGGAAGTTGGGAAAGATGCCCCAATATTCATTAGTCACCCTCCTTGTACCTTCAGTTTTTATACATCTTGTTTCTTAGTGCCCATGCAGCTTCCAAAGGTAAAGATTATTGAGGTCCAAGCACATGAGGGCTATTTCAGTTTCCTGAAGTTGCCGTCACAAATTATCACAAATTTAGTGGCTTAAGACAACAGAAATTTATTTGTTTACAGTTTTAGAGACTTGAAATTCATAGTCAAGGTGTCGGCAGGCCATACTCCCTCCAAAGGCTGTTTTGTGGCAAGTCCTTCTTTGTCGTTTCCATCTGGTGGCTCCAGGATTCCTTGATATGTGGCTGCATCACTCCAATCTCTTCCTCCATTCCTATGGCATTCTCTCCTGTGTGTGTGTGTGTGTGTGTGTGTGTGCACGCGTGTGTGGGTGCACGCGTGTGTGTGTGCACGCATGTATGTGGGGTCATTTTGAATCTGTGTCCTCTCTTCTTCTGTTTCTTATAAGAACACTTGTCATTGAATTTAAGCTCACTAAGACAATCCAAGATGATGTCACCTTAAGATCCTTAACCCAGCACTTGGGGATCCCAAAGTGGGTAGATCACTTGAGGTCAGGAGTTCGAGACCAGCCTGTCCAACATGGTGAAACCCTGTCTCTACTAAAAAGACAAAAAATTAGCTGGGTATGGTGGTACATGCCAGTAATCCCAGCTACTCAGGAGGCTGAGGTACGAGAATCTCTTGAACACGGGAGGCAGGGGTTGCAATTTGCTGAGCTTGTACCACTGCACTCTAGCCTGGGCAACAGAGTCTCTCTATAAAAAAAAAAGCCAACAACAACAAAAGAAAAACAGATCCTTAACACCCCAAATGTCACATTTACAGGTTCAGGGTGTTGGGTGTGGGCCAATCTTTCAGGGTGCCACAGTTTAATTCACTATAAAAGGTGACTTATGGCACAGAGTACTTATGGTACGTTGCCTGAATTATTTCCATTAATTTTCAAACAACTTTAAGAGGCATGTGCAAATTATTCCCCATTTTTACAAGTAAAGATACCAAAATGCAGAGAGGGGAAATAAGCCTCCAGGGTCGCACATCTAGAAAGGGACAGAACCTGGGCAGGGGTGCTCCAGAGCCTGCTGTAGCCACTGGGTACCTTGCCTGGCTCATGGAGCTGGTCAAAGGCAGCATTGTCACCTCCTGGTCACTGTCTTCACCTCCACCTCCTGATGTTATCATCATCCTCAGTGGTGTTCATATCCAGTCAGACAGACCACGCAGCACCATAGAGGCCTCTCCCTCCTGGGCTCCTCAGGTGCCCATTCCTGCAGTCACACCTGGACCATCCCATCCTCAAATCTAGATTCTAAACACATCTCTCCATCCTCCCCGCCCTGCAGGTCAAGATTCTCCACTGCCTCAGTTTCTTGGCTTCCTTGAGAATTTCAATGCAGTGACTCCCCCTCCTCCCTCTTGAGCCTCCTTCCCAGCTCCTCTTCCTTCTCTCCTTCCTTCTCTGTCCAGCCTCTGCTCCATGGTTCCTCATCATTATTCTTGTATGAATTTTCTCAGCAACTCTGCCTTTCTATCCTTTGTCACAGCCCCTTGGCAAAATCCCAACCCTGAATGAACCCTCCCATCCGCTATCTCCATGCCTGCTCCAGAACTGTTGCCTGTTCTTCGAGTTACACAATAGGGCTGGCTGATTTAGTTCTAAATTCATGATCTTGGCCCACGCACTGGCCCTCAACACTGCCAACCCACCGCTCTCTCTAGTAGGCCACTGTCCGCTCCTAGATGACAATGTTTCTTCTTCTCTTTGTCCTCTCACCTTCTCTTCCACCCTGCTCTCTCCCTCTACTTCCAAGGGACCCCATGACTTCACTCAATTCTCATCTTCCCAATACCAGACTAGGACCCACCCTGGCTGCTCCTCTCTTCTGCTTCTTCCTATGCTGATGGAGAAAGTCCCTCCACCTGTGCTCTGAATTCATTCCCTCCAGCTCCTCGGGAACTTCTTGCCCTCGTTGTCCCTCTCTGGTTCTCTCACCAGTCTCTTCGTTTTTCTAGGCAAGTCCAGTCAGCACCCGACATGCTCCTCCCACCTCCAGTTCCTCCTACCTCCAGCCCCTCCCCTTGACAGCTACTTCCCAATCCCTCTGTTTTCTTTTAGAGTCAAATTTCTCCAAAGAATATAATTTGGTTGCAGTCTCCATCTCTTAACTCCCATGCACTCTTGGACCCACTGAAGCCTGGCTTTGCTCCCCTGTACTGAGACTGCTCGCGCAAGGTCACCAATGACTCCATCTAGCCAGGCCCAGCCCACTCTTGGACTTCGTCTTAGTCTTGTGACAATATTGACCCCTCTTTCTGCAAACCCTTGCCTCTCTCAGTTTCGACCACATGCTGTTCTCCAGGCTTTCCTCACACTTCACTGGCTGGTCCTCCTTTCCAGCCCTCCTCCTTTTTCTGACTTCTCCTTGGTCTTCCTTAGGCCCTCTTGGGTCTTCTTTCTTCACTTCACAGGTGAGTTCATGAAATTCCATGGATTTAAATACTATCTGTATGCTGATGATCCCAAATCTATATCCCCAACCTGGGCTTACTCGAGCTTCCTTCTGACTTGCAGACCCTATTGCCTGCTGACATTTCTACCTGGGGATCTCAGATATCCCCAAACTAGCACACTGAGAGCAGACTTTCCATCCTCCCAACTCCACCTTTGCCATTCCAGTAAAGGGCAAGGTGCCCTCACCCCATGGGACTTGAGCCTCTCTTCTTGATTGGGTCCTCTTCTCTCTTTATCTAAACCATCAAAAAGTTGTTCTGGTTTGCGCTCTAAAGTCCATCTTGAATCTGTCTCCTGAAATAGCCTGGAAAACACAGCTCTGCCCTCCACCCTCAGCTCAGGATACTCCCTGGAGACACTCCTCTTCCTTCAGTTCCGACCTTTCCCCACCCAAGCCTTTTCCTACCTTTCTTACTTAAAAGTCTTGTGCCTGCCATGTTTTTCTCTTGCCTGTAATGCTCTTCCCTTTTATTTATAGAGCAGCTATTCTTCCTCCTCGTACGCCACAGTTTTAAATGCTGCCCATTCAAAGAGGCAGTCATTAATCAACCTCATGTAAAGTAGGTCCTTGATATTCTTTATCTCAGCCCCTTGGTTCTTTTCTTAATTTCCAGCATCACAACTTATTTTCCTTTTTGCGTGTTTGGTTTTGTGATTGTTGTTGTTGACCGTCTCTGTCTCCCTCACTTGCACATAGGATCCAAGAGCACCCAGGTCTTGAAGATGAACACATTTTCAGGATGTAGAACAGTGCCTGGCATGCTACAGATGTCGAGTTAATGATTCGATGATTGCAGATAGGAAACCAAGATTTAAACCCCATCGGTCTAGCTTCAGAGCCCTGCTGTCTTCTCACACTCCACATGCCTTCCTTCAGCAGATAGAATTCTGGAGGAGTTCAGGGTAGGAAAGGGCCCTCTGGGTGGGAGGGTCAGAGAAGGCTTCCTGGACGAGGGAAGCTGGATTTAGAAAGGGGCGATCCAGATGTCCGCTGTGTCCTGCCTTCTGATCCTACCAGGCCCAGTGACACTCCACCCCAATCATGGTGAAATGACACTGAGTCTGATTTGAACTTGCTCCTCACATGCATCTAGCCTATGGAAGAAGAACACTGAATATCAGCTCTTCTGCTGGCACCTTCTTTTCAGACATTCAGAAGTTTTTCAAGATACATGTGCCTTCCACTCACTCCCCACCTCCAGCTATCTCCATTCCTTACTACCTTCCAAATCCTGCTGACTTCAAGGTCCGGCCCCAGCCCTCCTCCAGGAGCCCTTACCCAGCCCTTCTGCAGACCATTCACTCCTCAATGTTTCCTCTTCATCTGCTGTCTCAGGACTCTACTTTTCTCCCATGCCCTGGCATTGCCTTGCTGGCTTCTAAGGGTGAGTTAGGTTGCATGGCAGGAACAAAGCAACCCAGCTGTCGGTGGCCAAGTGGTGGACACTATCAGGGCAAGGGGCAAGGCCTTGCACCACACGCCCACCCTGGTTTGGTGGGAATCTCTGCTCGCCATCATCCTCCTTCGAGGATATTGGCTGATAGAGCCTCTGCCATCTGGAGCATTGCCAGGCATCAGGGGAGGAGGAAGGGAACGTGGGAAATTCTACATCAGCTCTAAGAAGCACCCACCAAGTGCTTCATGGTTCTTCTGCGCACATTTTATAGGCTAGAGCAATCACATGGCCATGCTTAACCTGAAAGGTGAGGAGAGGTGGGAAGTAGTGAGTGCAATCCTATAATGCAGTCAGAAGAAGCAGCAAAGGAAATATTGGTGGATAATCCTTGTGGTTACCACACCACATTAAAGTTCTAAAATGTTGGCGGCTGTGTTTCTTCTTATGCTTTCTCTTCAATGCAGTGCTTAGCCAGCTTGGACCAAGATGCTGAGTGAGCTAGGACCCCACCTCCAAGCCTGGCAAAGACTTCCTTTCCTCTAAGATAGGCTGTGATGCAAGAGGTAGTTGAGAATTTTT